AGACTAGTTAGGTACGCAGGAGCTAACCCATTAAGGGCCTTATAGGCAAGTAATAATATTTTGTAACTGATACAGAACTTAATAGGTAGCCAGTGCAGAGACTGTAAAATTGGGGTAATATGATCATATTTTCTTGACCTGGTAAGGACTCTAGCCGCTGCATTTTGGACTACCTGTAGCTTGTTTATTGAAGATGCAGGACAACCACCTAGCAGTGCATTACAATAGTCCAGTCTAGAGGTCATGAATGCATGAACTAGCTTTTCTGCATCAGAAACAGAATTCTGAACATTCTTCAGAATATCTTCTTTTGTGTTCAACAGAAGAAAGAAACTCATAAATGATATAGAGGCAATGCAGCATAAAAGACTGACTAAATGACTTCAGCATCTCAGAATCTAATATGCTTTTGTAATTGTTTTGTAAATGCATTTATGCCCCTGATGTTATATGACTTTTTTAGAGTAACTTACCCAACACTGGTTGTTATGTCGGGGATGAAGGAAGGGTGCATTTGTTTCAGCTGTCGGCGAGATTGACACAAAACTACACAACATTGAAAAAATAACTCTTAAAATGACCCATCGGGCTCAACCCAGCATTTGAGCTGAAAAAGTCAATGGAAAAAGAAATCACACAAAGATGCCTTCTCGATTCATATAAATAATGATCAGTATGTGAAGAAGCCTGCTGGTGTTTGATCATACACAATAAGAAAGAACTTCTTTACACCGTGTCCTAACCAGTCTTGATGCTACGCATGCGATAAAACGTATCTTTTCCATGTTTGCCATTACAGCAATACATAACGAGCGACAGTGGATTCTATTTTAGAAACAGTTCCTATTTCTACAATGTCGTGCGAAGTGTATTCCACGACAAAGATTGTTTCAGTCACTTAGTATGTATTTTACTAATTTTAAAATAGTTTAATATTTATGAATTACGCACTTATCCATTATGTTGCGAGTGCAGCGCGCTTACAGAGAGGCTCCGCCCACACGCTGTTCTGATTGGCTGTAGTTTTTGACTGATTTTCTCGCGTCGTGTAGCAATGTCACACCTGGGGCAAGTTCAAGCTCAAACCGGTGCGTAACGTTTTGCTACAGTTTCCGGTTTGAACGACATGTTTCCTGAAAACGGTGTGCAACGCAGTGACTGTAACATCGAGCGTATTTTGCAGTATTAAACACGTATTTATACCGATTTCATCAGGCTCCGAAAATTCTTCAAAAAGAACACAAAGACTGGCCTTCTCAGCTGCCATAGCTGCAACTCTTGCGTCATCAGAACAGAGTGTTCAACGCACCACCGTTTCCGTTTAAAACACGTTTTGCAACGTTTTGTCGGGGCTGAACGCAGCCCTGGTGTGGACAGACAATTGACCATATGCACGATTACTTCCTGGTTTTAGATAAGCCAGTTCAGTCATTTCCGGTCAACTGTACTGTGCCTAAGAGGAGCGCCCCTTGCTCGGTTCCTCTACATAATCCATTCACAATTTGGAGAAAAGTTTTGTTTGTCTAAGAGGACCAAACGTCCACGTAGCCTATACCATTTCAGGAATGACAAACGCTAATGTTAAATTTATGCGAGTGAATCCGTTAAATCATGCCGCGAGGCATTGCTATGATTGACAGTGGCAATGAAATTAATAATCTGATGAGCCGATGTCAAAATAGAGCTGTGCATTAAGTGATTCAGACTAAATTCAGACTAACAAAACTACACCAGCAACAAGTCTGTGTTGGATAAGACTTAAACAATGAAGTTATTAATTTAAATCGAAACATTTCAAAATATTTTACTTCCTGGTTTTAGATAAGCCAGCTCAGTCATTTCCGGTCAACTGTCAAAATCAGCTGTGCTATAAGGGTAGCGGTCTTTGCTCGGTTTCTCTACACAATCCATTCACAATTTGAAGAAAAGTTTTGTTTGTCTAACAGGACCATACTGTATACTATATACTACCGTATACTCTTTCAAGAATGACAAACGCGAGTGTAAAAAAATTTAATCTGCTAAATTATTCTGCGAGTCATTACTATGATTGATAGTGATAAAGCAATGGAGGAACAAAACATCTGACGAGCCGATGTCAAAATAGAGCTGTGCATTAAGTGATTCAGACTAAATTCAGACTAACAAAACTACACCAGCAACAAGTCTGTGTTGGATAAGACTTAAACAATGAAGTTATTAATTTAAATCGAAACATTTCAAAATATTGAATGCATTATTTAATTGTTATACCAACTTATTTAATTTGTATTTGACTATATAGGTATTTAAATAATTCAGCATTATAGGCTGTTGTCTGGCCTTTATTTATTTTTTAAATGACAAGTGACTTTGTGACTTCCTGCACTTGCTATACTTTATACTTCAGTGCGATAAAGTACAAAATTTGTTATAATATTTAATTTTATAATAAATCAAAAGACGTGAAAAAACTAGGGAGTTGAAATGGCAGCTGCAGCCAATGAGTGATCCTCTGCTGCCATCTCCTGGTTATAACGATAATTTAATTTTCATCTTAAAAAGTCTTTATTTTTCGCCAAGAGACATGTTTTTGGCACATTTCTTCATGTCGTCTTCATGAATGAAAAGTTAACCTTTAATAAAGTGAATTTTGCTGCACCGAGTTGAGAAATAATAAGGCTTTAAAATTTTATAAGATTTAAAAAATGTGTTTATGGCTATAAGGTAAGATATTGATTATCGAGAATACCATTACGATGTCTAACCGCCTAAACATTTACGATAGTGTTTATTTGTCAGCATTTAAATGTACAGTTATGTATCTGGGTACTTTCCTGGGATTACCAGACTCTGCATATAAAATTATATGTTCTTTAATAACATGAAACTGTATGTTAATTCCGGTATCATTATTTATGGTGTTGCAATTATTTTGTTTCTCAGTTTCTGATAAGAATGAGGCAGGAGAGGTTTCTGTGAGAGTCTCTACCTATATTTAGCACATATAAAAAATCAGCTTCACCGGAAGATTACGAGCTGGCTTATCTTTACCCGGAAGTTAATGCATATGGCCAATTCGCTTTACTCGGGAATCTTATCGCGTAGTGTCTGGTTAAGATGTGTTAAAGTGTTCTGACATGAAGTTGCAATAATCTTCCAGCTGGTACAGCGTCTGTCTGTGTAAATGTCACAATGAAAAAAAAAGAAAAAAAAAAAAAGTCAAACTCTCAATTCACTTCTAAAGTGGCCTAGCTTGTTTGTAAACGTTTATTTATAGAATTCAGCAGTTTCATTTATGTTAAAATTGACTTTTTTAAACGGTCAATATGTAGAAAGCAATTATATAGTGTTAAATGTAGCATTTGTGATGGGTTCTCATGCAGGAGCAGCTTGTTTAGTGAGGGACACTTTTAATGGTGAACAATATTTCTTTACAAACAGAATAACTGAAAAATCTGTTTATATTGTTAAATGGTTTGTAAAATGTATTAGTTGGGTACTGTTCAGAACCTCAGTGATAAAGGACTAACAGCATCACACAATCTGTTAATGAGGAATTTTATTTATTTATTTTTTTGTGTTAATAGACAGCATAAAATAACTGAATATGTGGAAATACAGCATGATTCCAGAATAATGCTCAGATGATCATGTTACAAATAATTCAATGCAAACAACACCCAAAGTAAATAAGAACTCCCTGTATAACTCTCTCTAAACTGTTAGTTATGATTTATAAGTATCATTGTGATCAGTGTTAGATCGAATCCCAAATCAGAAACATTAGAACCAACCCCAGATGCTGGATAATGTGAGAAAATATCTGTTTTGTCTGATACTCAAAACCCGCTAACCCGTTAGCTGAAACTCATTAATCTCTGTCACATACACTCTTAAAAATAAAGGTGCTTCACGATGCCATAGAAGAACCTTTTTGTCTAAATGGTTCCATAAAGAACCTTTTACATCTGAAGAACCTTTCTGTTTCACAAAAGGTTCTTTGGGGTGAAAGAAGGTTCTTCAGATTATAGAAAGGTAAGAAAGAGATGGTTCTTTAAAGAACCTTTGACTGAATGGTTCTTTGTGGAACCAAAAATGGTTCTTCTATGGCATCGCTTGAAGAACCTTTTGAAGCACCTTTATTTTTAAGAGTGTAGCAGAAAGAAAGCAGGAG